TGCTTCCAGTTTTGGGCTCCACAATTCAAAAAGGATGTGGAGAAGCTTGAGAGAGTCCAGAGAAGAGCCACGTGCATGATCAGAGGTCAGGGAAGCAGACCCTACGATGACAGGCTGAGAGCCCTGGGGCTCTTTAGCCTGGAAAAGCGCAGGCTCAGGGGTGATCTGATGGCCACCTACAAGTTTATCAGGGGTGACCACCAGCATCTGGGGGAACGTTTGTTCACCAGAGCGCCCCAAGGGATGACGAGGTCGAATGGTCACAAACTACTTCAAGATCGTTTCAGGCTGGACATAAGGAAGAACTTCTTTACTGTCGGAGCCCCCAAGGTCTGGAACAGCCTGCCACCGGAGGTGGTTCAAGCACCTTCATTGAACACCTTCAAGATGAAACTGGATGCTTATCTTGCTGGGCTCCTATGACCCCAGCTGACTTCCTGCCCTTTGGGCGGGGGGCTGGACTCGATGATCTTCCGAGGTCCCTTCCAGCCCAGATGTCTATGAAATCTATGAAATCTCACAGCCAGACTGAGTCCAGACATTGAATGCCTCAATGGTTGTAGCCACAGAGAACGGGAACATTAGAATTTAGAACATAAATCCTAAGAACTCTAAAGACAACTGGACTTGCACTGAGCACTCCTTTGAGTTCAACTGTGCTTCATTGACAGCATTCCCCATAGGAAGTGGTGCAGAGTTGCTCTACCCAATTTGGTGCTTTGGGAGGCTGGCAAAAAATGGACAGCTGGACTTCTCATGCTGCTTGCCAACTCTGTTAGGCATGGCAAGTTCATGGCTTAGCTTTTCACACAGCCCCATTCCAGCTGCAGACCAGTAATAACTTCATACACTCCTTGTACTCAGGAAAAAGCATAGACTGTAGAGGTGCACCAATACATCAGTCCAATACCGGCTCAGTACTGATACGAAGAAAATTGTCTATATTGGATAGGGCTGTGTGAATTTTCACTGACTGTTTTATTTCAATGCTATTTCAACTCATTTTGAGCTCAAAACAGTGAAATTGAAATGAAACTAAAGGCTTCGAAACAGCCTTGAAATGAAATGAGGGCAGTCAAAATGTTTTGAAAGTTTTGAAACGTTTTGAGTTTTGAAGCTGGGCTTGCTTGCAGCTAAAGAGAAACTAAGGAGAGGGAGAGGGAAGAGGGAGAAAGGACTGCTTTCATATTGACTGTGTAGCTGACCAGTGACTGTGATCCTTTGCAGTTTCCCAGAAACCACTGCACCTATCTCCTTGAAACTTTCATGAGTTTTCCTTGTCAGCAGCCTGAGTTGCAGTTTCCCAAAAACCCTGCACCTATATCCTTCAAAGTTGGCAGGCTTCACGGCCTCAGCAGGGACTACCATGCCCACAGTTTTTACCCTGCTGTGCCTTAACACACGTGTGACACGAGTTTTGCTTGTCAGAATCTTGAAGTGTAGTTTCCCAGAAACCCCTGCACTTATCTCTTTGAAACGTGACATGCTTCATGGCCTCAGAAGAGGCTATCATTCCTGCAAGTTACATCTGAATCATACAAGAAATGACAAAGTTATGGGCAGTAGTTATTCCCCATTATAGCCTATGGGTGAAACGTCAACACAGCAAAACAGTTTCGATGAAACAAAACAGAACAGTAGTTTTAAAATTAAATGAAACTCAAAGTGAAACACTGTCCCATTAAAATGGAAGTTGAAATGAAATGGTGCTGTTTCTCACAAGCCTAATATTGGATATCAGCCCCATGGGGCCAATAATTTGGCCGATAAATGCCCATGCTGCATGCAGCTGCAATGCAGCAAGGAGCAGAGCCAACAGCTGAAGAGCTGCCTCCAGCTGGTAAGTCAGAAGGGGAAGGGGAGGGGAGGGAAGGGGCATGGGGGGGCAGATCAATGCCCCCCCCAGTGAGGGAGGGGGCAGGGGCAGGCGCTGCCCAGCCGGGGCTGGGGCAGCACAGGACAGAACCGTGGTTAATGGGGTGGGGGAGGCTCCAGCCACTGTTTGCACCCCAGGATGGGGGGGAGGGAGAGCATGTGCCTTGGGATCTGCATGGCGCAGAGCAGGCAGCAGGGTGGAGCCAGAGCTGGTGCTGCCTGGGGCTCTTCTTGCTAGGGGCTGGGCTCAGAGTGGGCACAGCCACTTTTCTCAGTGCTTGGGTGAAGGTGGGGCATTCAGCCGGGGCAACTGCATGGGGCTGGGAGCACAGCTGCAGCAAAATTAGGGGTGGCTGCAGCCTCCTCCCAGTACCATTGGAGTGTGCTCCAAGCCCAGGTCCCAGCAACAAAAGTCATGCACAGCCCTG